ACTGCTACTGCTGAACCCAGGACAGAGTGAAAAATAGGCCTTTAGCACATTTTGTGCATTCATTCTCTTTCTTTGCTGCTGTTATTAAAACCATTCCTCCATTTCTGTTCACCTTCATCACCTTTTTCTTTATTCCACCACAAGTCTAAATGTAAATACTCATGCAACAACAGATGGCTGGTCAAGATCTTGAAGGGCATTTCCTCTTTGTGTGTAATGTACAACTGACGTAACTTCAAGTAGTAGCTTTTCTTGATGAGGAAACATGGTCTTGGGAACATGGTGATGCTTCGACCTGGTGAGATTGACTATGACCAACAAAGGCTCTGCAGCTTTCCCAGTTGTGTTATTTTTCTCCACAGACACCTATTTCACCCAACTTGTAGGGCCTTGGTTATCTCTGGGGCTCCTGTGCATTTATCAGGCTTGGCCAAAATGGGCTACTGGGTTCAGGAGTGAAAGATATACACTCTATTTCCCCAGGGAGCCAGGCTGAACCTGCAACAGAAAATGAGACAGTGAGGCAGGTGCTGAGGCAGCACCTCACATCACTATTAGCAGCAATTTCAAGGATCTAACATAAAGCAAATCCCAACTTAAAACCAGCCAGTTTTCTAAAGTCTTAGAGACACATTGCTCTCCTCCACACACCAACTGCATTCCTCCAGCATCAGCTGTTGATGCTCCGGTTTGTACTGGCAGTCCTGGCTGGACATTCTCTGCTGAAGCACTAATGTTTTCTCTTTCTATATGTTCAGAAACTCCTCCCTCAGCTTCTGTGTGAAAGGATTACAATACAGTTCAGCCTGGAGCCAAGATCCAAGAAATATAGAGAATTTAGAGAAGAGATTCAGAGCAGCCCTGCAGAGAAGGACTTGGGGGTGCTGGTCGATGAGAAACTTAACGTGAGCTGGCTTCAGTGTGTGCTTGCAGCCCAGAAAGACAACAGTATCTTGGGCTGCATCAAAAGGAGCGTGACCAGCAGGTCGAAGGAGGTGATCCTGCCCCTCTGCTCTGCTCTTGTGAGACCTCACTTGGAGTATTGTGTGCAGTTCTGGTGTCCTCAACATAAACAGGACATGGAACAATGTCCTGGGTTCAGCAGTAGCAGTCATGTTTTTCCTTTGTGTTAACTGGTGCAGTGCTGTGTTTTGACTTCTAGCTTGAGAACAGCGTTGGTGAAGCCGATGTTTTCGGTTGTTGCTAAGTGATGTTTACCCTGACCAAGGACTCTGTGAGGCTCATGCTCTGCCAGGGAGGAGGGGAAGCTGTGAGGAAGCAGAGACGGGGCGCCTGACCCGGGCTAGCCGGGGAGGTATTCCATACCACAGCACGTCATGCCCGGGGTGGGGGGTAACTGGGAGTTACCCGGAAGGACAGGGGCTTCCGGGTGGAACTCGCTTTCTTGGCCGGTGGTATCGTATTCTCTTCCCTTGTTATTTTCCCTTATCATTGTTTTAGCTGATAGTAGCGGTGGTGATTTGTTGCTGGACTGTTCTTGTCTCAACCCGTAGGAGTTGCACTCTCTCGATCCTCCTCCCCGTTCCTCCGGGAGCGGGGAAGGGGAGAGCCCCGGTGCAGGGGGAGGGGGGAGACGAACACGGACCTTGATTGTTGTCAGCTCGGCACCACTCACTGGGAGTGAGTGAACAAGTTACCTGACTGGGTTTAAACCACGACAGTTCTTTTTGGTGCCCAACGTGGGGCACGAGGGGTTGAGATAAGAACAGATCTGACTGGATTGATAGTCACTCGTCACAATGCTGATTTATTGGCTCTCAAGGTTGTTCCTCTTGATCTCACAGTTTCAGTATACCATATCTTACGTCCATCCGGTATTGGCTGTATTAGTGTTTTTCAAGTGTGGGGCTTGGGCTAAGGTTTTTATCCCATTGTACTTTATGGTAATGACTTGTAATACAATAGAATCATTGATCATGAAACTGATCTGGTTTATGTTCCCAGTGTGGTCACCACCTTTATACTTTGGGAGGTATATGATGGAGGTGCTTAGCAATTACACATCTTTTTTCTCCTTCTCAGGTGCTCAACCTGTGAAGGAGACATCCTTTTACCCTCCTAGTCGTCCCCCCAGACCATTTACATTTGAGAGTTTTGAATTTTTTGAATGGCCTTTAAATGCTGTTGAGACTTGTTTGCTGATGGTGATGGGAATCACCATGCTAACACGCATACAGAGTGTGTTTTGCCCACTACTGATTTCAAGAGTTAAGCAGATTCAGGTTTGGGTCTTGTCTGGGGTCAAACGACGATGTAGGAGGACCGAGAGATTTTCCCAGAGGCTGGACAGCCATGAGTGGCAGGGTGTGTGGGATAGTATGGGCAAGTATCTAGGTCAGTGGGCCCCTCCAGTACTTTGGAATTTCACTACCGAACAACTGCAAAATCCAGAAGAATTAGTAAAACACTTAAATGAGGTGTGTGGTCATTCTGGCCATACCAGAGATGGACAAATCACGGCAACGTGCTGGGGCTTGGCCTATGCTTACAGGGCCTTGTTCAACACTATCCAGCACCTTCAAAAGGAAAAGAATGTCGGCGGATTTGAGGGCAAAGCGACAGTCGCTACTCAAACTTTGGCTGCAATGAACTGCGCAGCTACCCCAGTGGCAAGTACAGCAGCTGCTCAAACTTCAACTGCAACAGACAGCGCGGTTACCCCAGCTCCAAGCACGGTAGCTACACCACCCCCAGCAACAAGTACAGTCGCTACTCAAACCACAGTGATAATCACTGCAGCCAAACCAGAGGACCAAGTCGTACCACTATCAGTTGCCCCTGTACGCAAGAGAACAAGCAAAAAGGAGGCAAAAAGGGTGAAGCGAGATGAAGAACCAATGAATTCACCACCTGGTAAGAAAAAAGAACTGTCATGGTTTAAACCCTAGCCAGACAGCTTGTTCACTCACTTCCAGTGAGTGGTGCTGGGCTGAGAGCAATTGAGGGCCCTCCCCAGGGCTCTCCCCTTCCCCGCTCCCGGAGGAACGGGGAGGAGGATCGAGAGAGTGCAACTCCTACGGGTTGAGACAAGAACAGTCCAGCAACAAATCACCACCGCTACTATCAGCTAAAACAATGATAAGGGAAAATAACAAGGGAAGAGAATACGATACCACCGGCCAAGAAAACGAGTTCCACCCGGAAGCCCCTGTCCTTCCGGGCAACTCCCAGTTACCCCCCACCCCGGGCATGACGTGCTGTGGTATGGAATACCTCCCCGGCTAGCCCGGGTCAGGCGCCCCGTCTCTGCTTCCTCACAGCTTCTCCTCCTCCCTGGCAGAGCATGAGCCTCACAGAGTCCTTGGTCAGGGTAAACATCACTTAGCAACAACCGAAAACATCGGCTTCACCAACGCTGTTCTCCAACTAGAAGTCAAAACACAGCACTGCACCAGCTAACACAAAGGAAAAACATGACTGCTACTGCTGAACCCAGGACAACACAAAATTTATAATTCAGTTGATGCCTGACTTGTTTTCAAGTGTCTTCACTGGAGACAGGGCACCTTTGCCATACTTTGTCAGCCAAACAAGATTACATAGAACAACTGTCTGTGGACACAGCAAACTAAAAATGTAATAGACATTTGTCATTAACTGTCCTACACTTGAAATTAAGCCTCTTTGAGCTTAACTTCAACTAGGCTTTGGTCTATCCGGCAGGCAAGTTTCAACCCAGTGCTCTCAATCCAAACACAAACTATAATTAAAATACTTGCACTGCTACTCTCACACTAGTTCCTTTGCTACCTCTCCCCCCTTTTTAAAGTAGGTAAGTTTAAGCTGTTTTTCCCTTCCCACTTCTAATATGACTTCCTGGTATTGGCAAATGAGTATTTTTGAAAGAAATCCTCTTTAATATTCTTCCTCTGGGCCCCACAAGAGCATAGTGTTTTCTCCACATTAAACAAACATGGCTGAAGTTTGCCATGCAAAAATCCACCAACTTTAGATTTAAGCATTTCTAGAACAGGAGACAAAAATTCACTAAGTCAGACTCTGCTGAGAAGCAAAAGCCTGGGAAGCATAAATCTGGTTTTGCATCTCTTGTCAAAACTAAGGCTCAACATAGTCACTTTAGAAGCAAACTGAGTTCAAGACTGAACAACTGATGCAACTTGTCCTGCCACTGGCACTGGACATCAGTACTTTGACTGGCAGAGAACACAGATGAAGTCATACTCCTTAATGTACCACAGGCATTCTGCATTAAGATGCTTGAGCAGGCACTGGTCAGATTTTGAGGAAGAACAGAACAGCAGTGTAAGTCAGAAAGGCACTGGATTAAGAAACAGCAGTAGGTTAAAATTACTCAAGAACTACCAAAGGCATCTAAATGAAATACAAGCAGGCAAACATCTTGAATGCAGATAAAGTATAAAAAAAAAAAAAAAAAAAAAGAAATGACTTTTACACAGACTGAGGTGGTCTTGCATGCAGGGAGCACCACACATCCACAGGTAATGTCTGTGACATCCTTGTACACTACTTGCAAGTGTGCTGCAAAAAAAGGGTACAGTCAAGGTTATTACCATGTTCAAGGCAAAGCATGTAATATCGCCATAACTGAAAGAACACATACAGAAATCTACAGTAAGGAGACTACAGATTTAGGTCACTGATTCAAATTGCAACCTACTTAGAAACATGATGAGAATCTTTCACACAGACAAGTTGTTCCTATCTGTTTCACAGCTGAAAGTAAACATCTGAGCTAGTTGGATATAATTTGATTGTGGTAGAAAAAAGCAAATGCATTAATAAAGTTGATCTAGAGCAGAAGTCTCTACCACTCAACACACGCAGGTCCGGAACCTCCATGATAGCTGGGTAAGAAGCAATTTTAATACTTAAACTATACCTTTCCAGCCACAACATGCAGGACACTTGTGCCATTTATTTGGATGGGTTAGACTGATTCCTAACATTCAATAGAAAATATATACAGCAAATAATTAAAAAAAATAAAATAACCATCATGAGAATTAAAACCTTTATTAGTGTATTCACATTAGGCAAATGCAACAGACATGAAGCTTATTTCTTAGGTTCACAAGTTCTACCAATGAAATAGTCTACTGGTAAAATTAAGCACAAAATGGTAACTGCTTTGTCAATTTTTTAAAAGGTGTCTGGCTCACTTTTTCAAGGCTTAATTTTTGGTATTGCTTCTATGCCCCAGTCATTATCGCATAAAAATGTCCACCACTATCATCAGTTTGGTCCACTGACTAGAATCTGTAACACTGGCCACATTTTTGTTCTCAAAGCTAAGATATTACTAGCTGTACTTGCAAAGTACAGTGTTGGTGCAATGGATGCAGCAATGGGGAAAACAAAGGCAATCCTGCTACTGCCACAATAAAAAAAGTACAACAGACACCTAGATGTAAAATGTATATTTTTCAGGTCAGAATAACTCTTCTATGGAGTTTCCCAACCGTTCCCCAACCCAGACTTATTTGAACATATTTCATAATATTTTTAATATAGTGCAGCTGTAGTGTCCAAAGTGTTCACAATAACATGCGCTGTCACAAAGAACCTAGAAGTCTTCCTTTGCTGATCAGCAACCACTATCCTACAGGTTTTGCAGAAGCAACTACTTTTAATAACAAGGCCCATTATGACATAATGAATGCATATGATCTGGTATGTAAGCAAGCTATATAAAGCTACTCTGATCAGAAATTTAAATTCTGTTACTGAAATATGTTAAGAAGCTGCATCTATTTAAATCCTATACAAAAGAGTCTAGTTTACACTAGGAAAGGATGTTTCAAGGTATTTGGCTCCAAACACTAAACCCCATTATTTTTAGTGATATATGTTTAATAAAAAAAGATACAGATTTAAGGGTAAACCAACACCCTTGCATACTTAATCTGGTATCCAATGCTATAGTAAATTCTCATTCCATAAGAAAAAAAAGCTGATTTCAATGATTCAAGGTACAAAAGTCCCGAATTACATCAGTACCAGCAACGCTGCTGGCAACAGATGCATCAACTGAGATGGGTAGGGAAAAGTAGACTCCTAATGTGATGGATACTCAGAATTTACAATATGAATTCATTTTAGGCCCCATTAAGTATATAAAGTGGCTTAAGATTTCACAGATGAATCTTCAGACATTTTTTTCCCTTCCAATGGAGGTATTTTCTTTAAGAAGGCAGCAAAAAGTTAAGCTTTTCTACAAGTCTGCTTTTTATGTTTAGGACAACTTGAAAACCTGATTATATTAAAAAAATATAAAAGAATAAAGGAATCTTGGAATTTTTGCCCCAATCAAAACCCAAATAACTATTTATGGGAACTAAAATGTATTCCAGCAAAATACTGTGATATTCAAGATCATTACCTGCACATATACTTAGCTGTTCATGTTATTGATAAACTATTAGGACACTCAATTATATACCCAATAAAAACACCAGTCTTTAGAACTGACCCTTCTTTCTGAAGAAGGCATTTCTATACACTAAATTTTCATGTAGTATCAGAGTACAGGAAACAAAATCTACAAGGTGCTTTAATTGATGAGACCTCAAGTGCCTTTAAAAAAAAAAGGCAACTCCCCCCCAAAAAAAAACAACAAAACCTTTTTTTGATAGCAAACAGTTCATGGGGATCACACACAAATACTATGATAGCTATTATATTAAGTCTAGTAATTGGACTGGGTATTTATCCCACTGGTAATGGAGGAAGGAGGTTTACGACATGCTGGAGCAGCGTACTGAAGGGGAGCCCATCTGAGTCAGTACTTTGTCCAACCATTGCAGAGGTCCATTCAGATGAAGTTCAATCCAGCAGGGAGTGCTTGTTACTGTTTGCCGCCTACAAAATAAAGAATAGGGAAGTCAGAATGCAACGTTGGCTGCCATAAAGTTTTCCATCAATATTTTTCATCCATATTTCCATCAAATATTTTTCCATCCACACCTACTACACAAAAAATATAAAAATTCACAACTATTACTACAACTGCTACTAAACTTTTTCAGACAGTCTCAGTGGGGGAGGGGGAGAACACCACACATACCAACAACAAAAACCTCCAAAACAACTCACATTTATAAGATGTCAATAATTATATGCTTGTCTATAATACACTGAGAATATCCCGCTCAATAAGGTAAGAACTGCAACATTTGGTTCAAGTGCCAAACCAAGAGCCTCACAGCACAATGGTGATCATAAGGTCTGGCTTTTTGGAGCAATTGACAAGATAAATGTATATGGAAACTGCTAGATATTGTCAGAAAGACTATGTCAAAACACAGTTTGTGGTTGTACTGTGCTAGCTGGCTGATGCTATTTCTGATTTCACGTCATCTTACACTTCTACATGTGTTTTATACTGTAACATCCTCACACAATTTCAGTAATAACTGTCTTTTCCCTTGTCCCCTATATAAACTCACCCACAATTTTCCCTTAATTAAACACCACATAGTAAGCCTCAGTAAAGCTGAAGGGCTGACAAGCGTAAAAGCTTCATTCACTTTCCCATATATCTTTGTTTCACAGACCTGTTTTTCAAAAATCTTCCTTCTCATGTCAAAGTAAACAAATCAGTATTTAACATACTCTACCTGGGAAACCCTGTTATTAACTCCCAGACATGGGAGTTTTCCCAAACTAGACTGGCAAGACTGCTGTTGTTAAGCCGCTTTTTCCTAGTAATTCTAGATATTCCAAAGAAAGCAAGGAGGCATTAAGATTTAAAAGCAGCAAATTAGTCAGACACAAACCTAGACCCTTCATTTTTATTGTCAACACTGCAACAACCTTTCACTTTAACAAAATCTCTTTATAAAAACACAGAAACTCAAAAGGCAGAAAGATTAAGGCAGCAAGAGACTGGATTTCAGAAGTTGTCTGTGGTTTCACATTTTCTAGGAGAAAGCAGTTGCTGTCTGTGCTCTCTCAGCAGTCTAAAAACATCATTATCTCTGCACTGAATGCCTATACCAAAACAAAGTGATCCAAAAGAAGAACAATCTAAACCACAGGAAATATAATTCCATTTAGTCTTAAATTCTCTCCCAAAGAAGGAAGCTTATTATTCCACTGCTGTTAACTCCCCAATAATGTGTTCTACAACACACTTCCTCAAAATTTTATAATTGGCGCTGTTCAACAACCCTGGCTTTGCACTGCAATAGCAAAAGTTCATAAAACAGTGACAGTCACTTAGCAGCTGTCTCAGAGCTAAAACTCTGCCTCTTCTAGCCATAGATTTCCAGTTCACACATCACGGTTTCTGTGTTGTAATTACCTCTACTTTAAGTTTCTTCAGAAGGTGATCTGAGACCTGGACAGTTCGTTTACCAAGGTGAAGACTTGACAGGTTATCTGAATTTCTACCACCATCCCCAATTCAAACCAACATATCCCAAGCAAAAAGATATAGGCTATTTTGTCTACAAACTTACAAAAATCTACCACCCTCCATATCTGCACACTTATGCACATATACCATATGCCTAAAATGCCAGTAATGTTTTGGCTTTGAAAAGCCTGCTCTATGAGAAAAAGGTTTTGAAATAATGAGGCATGGAAATTTTAATGAGAATGATGGATTTTACAGTGCTTCCTAGTTGTTGCGGTTTAAGCCCAGCCAGACAGATCATTCACTCAGTTCCCCCCTTTCCTTCCTCTTTCTTTCCTTGCCCCTCCCACTCCTGGAGGGAGCAGGGAGGAGAATTGAAAGAATGCCACTCCCCCATCTTGACATAAGAACAGTTTAGTAACTAAGGTATAACACAAATCACTACTGCTGCTACCAATAATAACAATGATAAAGGAAATAACAAGGGAAGAGAATATGACACCACCCGCTGAAATAAGCCTGACCCAGAAGACCCTGTGTCCTTCTGGGTCACATGATAGAGAGGGCTTACAATCGAACTGTAATTTGGGATGTGCATTCTCCAGAACCCCACTGCACCCAAGAAAGCTTGCGTTTCTTTCTTATTAGTTGGTGGAGACATTGCTGTTATCTTGTTGATCACATCTGTGGGGATCTGTCTACGTCCATCTTGCCATTTTATTCCCAAAAATTGAATCTCCTGTGCAGGTCCCTTGACCTTACTCCGTTTTATGGCAAAACCGGCTTTCAGCAGGATTTGGATTATTTTCCTCCCTTTCTCAAAGACTTCTTCCGCTGTATCGCCCCACACAATAATGTCATCAATGTATTGCAGGTGCTCTGGAGCTTGCCCCTGTTCCAGTGCAGTCTGGATCAGTCCATGGCAAATGGTAGGGCTGTGTTTCCACCCCTGGGGCAGTCGGTTCCAAGTGAACTGGACACCCCTCCAAGTAAAAGCAAACTGTGGCCTGCACTCTGCTGCCAAAGGAATGGAGAAAAATGCATTGGCAATATCAATCGTGGCATACCACTTGGCTGCCTTTGACTCTAGTTCATACTGAAGTTCTAGCATGTCCGGTACGGCAGCACTCAATGGTGGTGTGACTTCATTCAGGCCACGATAGTCTACTGTTAGTCTCCATTCTCCATTAGACTTTCGCACTGGCCATATGGGGCTATTAAAGGGAGAGCGGGTCCTGCTGATCACCCCCCGACTCTCCAGTCTACGGATCAGCTGATGGATGGGAATCAGGGAGTCTCGGTTGGTGCGATATTGCCGCCGGTGCACCGTTGTGGTCGCAATTGGCACTTGTTGTTCTTCAACTTTCAGCAACCCCACAGCAGAGGGATCTTCTGAGAGACCAGGCAAGGTGGACAGCTGCTCAATTTCCTCAGTCTCCAAAGCAGCAATACCAAAAGCCCACCGGTACCCTTTTGGGTCTTTGAAGTACCCTCTCTTGAGGTAGTCTATGCCGAGGATGCATGGAGCCTCTGGACCAGTCACAATAGGGTGCTTTTGCCACTCCCTCCCAGTCAGGCTGATTTCAGCCTCCAGCACAGTCAACTCTTGGGATCCTCCTGTTACTCCAGAAATATAGATGGGTTCCACCCCTTGACAGCTTGATGGCATCAGGGTACACTGTGCACCGGTATCTACTAGAGCCTTATACTTCTGTGGGACTGATGTGCCAGGCCATCTGATCCACACAGTCCAGTAAATCCGATTGTCCCCTACCTCCACCTGGCTGGAGGCAGGGCCCCTCTAATGGTCGTCACAGCGTTGGACACTTAAGTCGTGTTGAAAGGGATTATTCTTCGTTATCACAGGAGCTGGAGTAAAATCAGCTCTTCCACTCCATCTGGGAAACTGCTCACCAGAGACTGAAGCCGTAGCTCTCATGGGACGATCAGTCTTGGCCCTTGCTCCCCTCTTCAGTTCACTCACCCGTTCCTCCAAAGCTGAAGTAGGTTTTCCATCCCACTTTGTCAGGTCTTCTCCGTGATCCAGCAGGTAAAACCATAGGGTACCCCGTGGCGTATACCTTCTGTATCTCCTCTCTTGAACAATAGGACGTCTTTTGTTAATAGCTGAGACGTGTGTTGGTACACGTGAGGAGCTGGATAAATCAGATACATCGTCCCTCAATTTGTCGAGGTCCTGGGACAGCTTTTTCACAGCTGAGATGATGGAAGGGGTGAGATTGTCTTCGAACTCTCGGAGTTTATGAACCATTTCATCCACTGTTAGTTGTACTATGTCATTCCAGGTCACTGTTGCCAATGAATGGGCATATGATGACGGTGCATTCCGTGTAAGTTTTCGCCACATGGGTCGTGTACATTCAACTTCATCTGGATCTATAGGTGTATCCCCGTTATTCGACTTGATGTGATAGAGCATCTCTACGATGGCCGATTCCCTCAGAGACTGGATGCCTTTGTCTATAGTAGTCCACTTGGCCGAAGGACTCGTAACATCGTCCTTGTACGGAAACCTTTCTTTCACAGCTGCCAAGAGCCGCCTCCAAAGGCTGAGGGACTTTTTCTCTCTTGCAATTGCTTTGTCAATTCCCCCTTCTCTAGCAAGTGATCCCAGCTGCTTGGCTTCTGTACCTTCTAGTTCGTGACCATCGGCCCCATTGTCCCAGCATCGGAGTAACCAGGTGATGATGTGCTCCCCTGGTTGACGGGTAAAATCTTTTCGCATATTCCGCAGCTCGGTTGAGGTCCGAGGTCGAGAAGTTACCTCTTCTTCTTCTTCTTCGTCATGTGAGGATGACTCCTGATCAGATTCTGGACCGGGTGGTGAATTCATTGGTTCTTCATCTCGCTTCACCCTTTTTGCCTCCTTTTTGCTTGTTCTCTTGCGTACAGGGGCAACCGATATTGGTACGACTTGGTCCTCTGGTTTGGCTGCAGTGATTATCACTGTGGTTTGAGTAGCGACTGTACTTGTTGCTGGGGGTGGTGTAGCTACCGTGCTTGGAGCTGGGGTAACCGCGCTGTCTGTTGCAGTTGAAGTTTGAGCAGCTGCTGTACTTGCCGCTGGGGTAGCTGCGCAGTTCATTGCAGCCAAAGTTTGAGTAGCGACTGTCGCTTTGCCCTCAAATCCGCCGACATTCTTTTCCTTTTGAAGGTGCTGGATAGTGTTGAACAAGGCCCTGTAAGCATAGGCCAAGCCCCAGCACGTTGCCGTGATTTGTCCATCTCTGGTATGGCCAGAATGACCACACACCTCATGCAAGTGTTTTACTAATTCTTCTGGATTTTGCAGTTGTTCGGTAGTGAAATTCCAAAATACTGGAGGGGCCCACTGACCTAGATACTTGCCCATACTATCCCACACACCCTGCCACTCATGGCTGTCCAGCCTCTGGGAAAATCTCTCGGTCCTCCTACATCGTCGTTTGACCCCAGACAAGACCCAAACCTGAATCCGCTTAACTCTTGAAATCAGTAGTGGGCAAAACACACTCTGTATGCGTGTTAGCATGGTGATTCCCATCACCATCAGCAAACAAGTCTCAACAGCATTAAAAGGCCATTCAAAAAATTCAAAACTCTCAAATGTAAATGGTCTGGGGGGACGACTAGGAGGGTAAAAGGATGTCTCCTTCACAGGTTGAGCACCTGAGAAGGAGAAAAAAGATGTGTAATTGCTAAGCACCTCCATCATATACCTCCCAAAGTATAAAGGTGGTGACCACACTGGGAACATAAACCAGATCAGTTTCATGATCAATGATTCTATTGTATTACAAGTCATTACCATAAAGTACAATGGGATAAAAACCTTAGCCCAAGCCCCACACTTGAAAAACACTAATACAGCCAATACCGGATGGACGTAAGATATGGTATACTGAAACTGTGAGATCAAGAGGAACAACCTTGAGAGCCAATAAATCAGCATTGTGACGAGTGACTATCAATCCAGTCAGATCTATCGTTATCTCAACCCTTCAGGACCCATGTTGGGCACAGAGCACACTATTTTGACAATTCAAACTACATTCATTTGAATTCATGGCTGTGTTTGCAGGAGCAAGCTTTTCTTGCTTTAACCACAACTGCAGCATAACTTACAAGTTTTGTGCATCAATAATTTATTAGCATCATCTTAAACAGAGATGCAAAGAAACTAATTCAGCATTATGTCAGTAATCAGTTTCTGTGTTGCTCTGGTACTGTTTCCACTGCAGCTTTTTCAATCCTATGGTTTATAGACTAACCAACACCATACTCCCTCCTTAAAAATAACATTACCAAAAGCCTCCCCACTGTTTTAACCCAGCACTTACACTGCATTCACTTGAAGATGTCTCCGTATACTCTGATTAAGCTTTTCTTTTGTTCAGATTTGAATGTTGGATTTAATTATGCATAAGTGTATATATACTCCTTTCAAGCAAAAGTATTGATACGTCAGACTTCATTCTTTCAGTGGACAATTTCTAGGGAGGTTTAAGGGATTTGCTTAAAACCACATCTTTAGCGCTCCAAAATAATGAAATCTTTAATACTGCTCAGTTAGGAGTCAATTCCTTTTCTTCCCAAATTCCCATACTGCATTAAAAGCATACACTGTCCTCAACCATACCTCTTAGCTTGTGCTAATAGAGAATTCAACTGGAATCTATTAAAAAAGCAGAAAAATCTTTTTTTTTCCACTCAAACCCATTTTTAACAGTTTTACTACACAAACACAGTAATCTTACTCCTGCAAAGTTTTTTCTACTAAAAGTTCCAAAATATTTGCCATCCCTTAAATGTGTGTTCTGCAGCTGTTTTATTCTGCAGAATGAAGTCTAAGTGACTATTTCTTTCTGTCAGGTACTATCAACTGCATCCAACACAGCAACCTAATGAACTCCTTATAGTCTATATAAAACAGGACACAGACCAAAATTACTATATATCTAACAAAGACCAAATAGTATGCTAGCACAAACTATAAAACTTCTAGATGTTGTCAGTGATTTCCCCACAATAAGCAAACAAGCAGGACCAAAGGAGGAAATGGAACTTAGATGACATTCCTTGTTCAACAGCAGACTTTGATGTAATACTAAAATAAAGTTTACTAGTCTTTATGACTTAGGAGCTGAGGAGGAGAAAAAGGAAAATTTGGGTTCAAGTTGCAGAGAACATATCTACAATAGCAGTAAGAAGCCTGTATGTATGGCTTCCAAGCCAGACAGAAATAGTGTATTAGTGAAAGAAGAGAAATGGTTAACTCTAAATTTAAAAGCAAAGGTTTTTCCTCTTACCGGTATTCAGCTCCCCATCCTTTAACAAAACTCATTCTTATGGTACACATCCTAGTAAGTTGATAAACTGCTTCAAAACCCTGATTCACAGATTGAGCCAGAAGAGCAGCAAATTCCTGGTTGTTAAAGATTTTTAGATTGCATCCTATAAAGAAAAGAAAAAAAAGTCAAAAGGGTGCAAGCAGTGAATGTTTGCGTTTGCTACACAGAAGCTCAAAACTATGAAGAAACTATCAATAGGATAGCAAACATCATCCAGCAAGTACATTCACTGGATAGTTTTGCACAAGACCTGTGGTAGGCTACTAACCTGGAGGAATTTTGCACACAGTTGCAGGATGCCAGCCGTATCTTTGATTACAGTTGGGGCTCTGAACAAAAATCGCGCTATCACTTAGGCACTCAGCAAAAACTTCTCCACCAATATAATAGAGACGCACTCCCCTTCCTGTAGGAAAATTGAAAGAAACTATAGTTATTATATGACCCAAGCAGATTAACAAACAAGGGAGTATTTTGTTTCAGGACCATGCTGCTGGGCTAACAGCTGTAGCAGGTCCAGAACACAATTAACTTGCATTTTTCTTCCATGAACACACAAAATTTGAAGGAGAAGCAGAATGATTTTTGGCCAACAGTGAGACAAATTTTATTTCTTTTTAGCTACTTAATGGTTTGTAACCAAATTCAAGTTAGGAAGCAGTGTTCATTCCTAAACAACTTTTTAATTTAAATAAATACTGAAATTGAAGCTGAAAGATTAGATTTAATAGAATTAAAAGCTCTACTAACATTGAAGTGTTGTATGTGAAGTGGTACAGGCCACTGTGGCAGAAAAGGAAAACAAGTATACCAATTCAAGACTCCCGACTTATATGCATCCACACTATTTCAGAACCGACTGCATGCCCCTTCTCTGTACTACAGAGACAACAGGACTTCACTTAGCCCTATTACAAAAAATACCCTTAAGAAATCCTATGTTCACTTTTAAATTGTTCCCTCTCCCCAAGTGGAAAGAACAAAACAAACTGCATGGCTTATTTCTAGCAGAATCACAGAATCAACTAGGTTGGAAAAGACCTTTAATATCATCAAGTCCAACCATTACTGCCAAGACCATCAGTACACCATGTCACAAGGTGCCTCATCTACATCTCCCCCTTCCTTCTTTGTTCCAGCTGGGGTTATCTGTCCCAGCTGTGTACCCTCAGCCTATTTGCTGGTTGAGGTGGTGTGAGACGTGGAAAAGGCCTTGGCTCTGAGTAAACACTGCTCAGTAAATAGCATCCCTGAATTATCAAGACTGTTTTCAGAATAAATTGAAAATATAGCCCCATGCTAGCCACTATAAAGAAAATAAAATTTATCCCAGCCCAAATCAGCACAAATATTCAAAGTTGTACAACTCCTCTCCCAAGGAAAGCTATTTATAAAACAGGTACTTTAAAGGCCACAGTTTCTCTTCCCCCTTCTCTTTAAAACTATTTTTCAAACAATGTGAGCTGCTCTACAAAAAATGTGAGAACTCCTTACATTTTTACTTTTTCTTATCATTGACCATTTTTATCAGTCAGCACAAGCATAGCCTGGGTTTCTGCACATCTGAAATTTTATTAGACAAGCATTTGGGCTTGTCAGAGAGAGTCAGAAGGTTCTACTAAAGAGGTTGAACTTTTACTAAAAAACAGATTTTTTTTACCAAAAAAGATTTCATGAATGTTGCAAAATAAAAGAATCCAGGAAAAAAAAAAAAAAACAAACCAAAACCACATTATTTTATCAAAGAACTTAAAGCCAAGATGCTGCATTGTGGAAAACAATATTCTTTACTAACCATTACAAAAATATCTTAATTATCTCAAAAGAGCATGTTGTTTCAATGGAAGCTTTTCCCACTTCAGAAAAGAATTCAAGAAGTACTACCAGTGTCCATTCTGCATTTTATAAATTATAATAAAGTAACCAACATGTAAATATTTTTTAATTAAAGCTTAAATTTCAAGTCCAGAGGAGGCCACGAGGATGCTCAGGGGCTGGAGCACCTCCTGTATGAAGACAGGCTGAGGAAGTTGGGGCTGTTCAGCCTGGAGAAGAGAAGGCTGCGTGGAGACCTCAGAGCAGCTTCCAGTATCTGAAGGGGGCCTATAGGGATGCTGGGGAGGGACTCTTCATTAGGGACTGCAGTGACAGGACAAGGGGTAATGGGTTAAAACTGAAACAGGGAAGTTTAGATTGGATCTAAGGAGGAAATTCTTTCCTGTGAGGGTGGTGAGGCACTGGAATGGGTTGCCCAGGGAAGCTGTGAATGCTCCATCCCTGGTGGTGTTCAAGGCCAGGCTGGAAGAGGCCGTGGGTGCCATGGTTTAGTGTGAGGTGTCCCTGCCCATGGCAGGGGGGCTGGAAGTGGATGATCTTAAGGTCCTTTCCAACCTGAACTATTCTATGATTCTATAAGCAACTCTGAATATAAATGGTACCCAGGGAAGAGTTTCCAACAACGAGCCTGAAAGCCAAAAACCTGCCCCTTGGAATGCCTTGTTTCATCATCATCTTCCAGAAGGCAGAGAACAGCAACAGAAGCAACAGAAGTCCCATACAGTTGAGTGGCTTCCTCCTTTATCCCTCTCAGCCTGAGAGCTGTGTGACTGTTCCTGACACTAAATTAATGACTACTGATTGAGGAAAGGCAGCTCCTTTCAGCTCCAGACATCACTACATCTCTTCCAAGTTGCAAGTGGCTGCTACATTTCTCCCCCAGTTTTAGAAATGGTGACCTCTGTGTCTTTCCATTTCCATCCTTAGCAAGGGGGGCTGAGCTCTCCTTGGCAAGTCTCAAGAGAGTTCAATGACAGGCTGCACAAGGGTAATAGGCTCCCAAGAAACAGGTTTGCCCATCTTACCTGTATTGTTCCAGATAATTTAATAGCTAAACCAAAATGAAACAGGTAAAGGTAATTAAAATTAAACAGGCAAAGATCAGAAATTTTTACCTATATGTCGCCTTGTCATTTCCACCGTAGCATTTCTGTTCACATTGGAAAGCAGACCTAGACAAAACCGCTCTGAATTTGATGGATCTGTAAAGCCATCTACAGTCAGGGAAGGCTGTGATGCATGAAAGGTTTCTCCCACTCTTTGATTCAATTCATAATATGCTATTGAACACCAGAATGCAGGCTCTGAGTAAGTAACTGGCTGCAAGTCTAAAAGAAAAAAAAATTTAATTAAAAACCAAGCTTAACAGAATTTGAGGCTGAAAAGAAATTGCTCTGCCTTGAGGAGAAGGACTTTGGGGGCATTGGTTGATAAGAAGCTTGACATGAGCTGGCAGTGTGCGCTCACAGCCCAGAAAGCAACCGTATCCTGGGCTGCATCCAAAGGAGCGTGACCAGCAGGTTGAAGGAGGTGATCCTGCCCCTCTGCTCTGCTCTTGTGAGACGCATCCCACAACCCCCTGCCCAGAGTACTGTGATTCAGCTCTGGGGCCCCCAACACAAGAAGGATGTGGACATGTTGGAGCAAGTCCAGAGGAGGCCAAGAAGATGCTCTGAGGCCTTGAGCACCTTTCCTATGAAGACATACTGAGAGAGCTGGGGTTGTTCAGCCTGGAGAAGAGAAGGCTCAAGGGAGACCTTAGAGCAGCCTTTGAGTACTTAAAGGGGCCAACAAGAAAGCTGGAGAGGGACTTTTCACAAGGGCCAGTAGTGACAGGACAAGGGGTGTTGGCTTTAAACTGACAGAGGGTAGACTTAAACATTAGGAAGAAGTTCTTCCCTATGAGGGTGGTGAGACATTGGAACAGGTTGCCCACAATAGTTGTGGATGCCCCATCCCTGGAAGTGTTCAAGGCCAGGTTGGAAGTAGATGATCTTTAAAGTTCCTTTCCAACTCAAACTAGTCTATAATTCTATGCTATTCATCTCTTCCAGAAACAGTGGTAGTCTCCTCAAACTACTCAAATTATATTTTGCTTGCTGCCATTTTTACATACTCCAAACAGAAGGGAATTCAATATTCCACACAAGGGAAGGAGAGGAAGAAGGGTGATCTAATCAGGCCATAGCTCATATAGTTCTGTACTTGCATTCCGCTTGGCAAAATGATTAAGCTAATGTTGCAGAGAGTGCCAGACACTGAGACACTTCTGTTGCCTTTCTATAACTTGCAAACATTTTGGTAACATTAAAGAAGAGATTAAGCTATCAGACACTGAACCATGCAAAGGAAAAAATATTAATATGAAAATTATGCTCCCCTGTGTTACACTAGACCTTATACTATCTGTATAGATAAAGGTAGTTCTAAGCTCTTTTTACCCTCCCCTACTAGAGCTCAGTACCTTCCCCAGGCAGGCTTCTTCAGCTTTACCTGAACTGCTTCCTATTTTCATTTATGCTAATTACTTACTCAGCATTCTGAACAGCATTTTCCTGTCACATCCTGTCACCAAACCCAAGGGAATCTGATATTCCTGGGTCATTTACACAGACACCCAGCAATGATACCTGATCAAAGCAGGTGGGCAACTAATATGGGAGCAACAATTGTGTTGTGGTTACAGGTGAAACAGTACATGAGAAGAGCAGCAAGCACACATACAAGGGAAACAGTCTGGACAGCACTATGGATAGTCTAACATCCTTTAAACTAGTTATTTTATAAATGCTACTCCTTGCATACACAACCATATTATTCCTTCTCTTTGCTAGAAACTCAACAGTTACAGAAATAGATAATTTGTTATTAACCCAGCCTTATTATATTTATCATCAGGAAGCCAACCCAATAATCTCCTGCCAATACAATGCTTATTTTCAAGTACGTTATAATTTTAATGTAATTACATATGTAAAGGAGGGTCATCACACACAGAGAAACAATTAAAAATATTTACAGCTTACCCAGGCTATGATTAACTGGGGAGAGATTATTAGGAGACAGCTCTGCTGGAGATCCTGTTGAAGCAATACAGATTATTTCAGAGCAAATGATTTTTGTTATTCCAGATGGGTAGGTATAACCATTATCTATAATTTTACATTATAATTCTTTGGAATAAGAAACCTCAGATACCCTACAAGCAGTTTTCCAGCATGTCACATACTTATTCTGAATTAAGATTACATTTAATTTTGCAGACTCCTGGGAACCTACCCCTCCATGTAAAGACTTAATTAACATCTTAGTGTTGTATTTGGCAGAGTTCACTTCATGCACTCTGTGAACATATCTTTATTTATGCACTTCTCCAGTGAGAATGTAGTGACTTCCCAAATTCAGTAGAAAAAAGCTAAGATAAAGTGGATAAAGCAAGAAAGATACTGCCTCTCTGTTTTCAAAGGAGAGGGCTTATCTCTACAAAAGAACAAGCTAGATTTCCTCATTTGAGGAAATTATTCTTTCCTGGAAGGAGGAAGGAAGAAACTCAAAACCATGAACTCTCCAACACAAAATACAGAGGAGCTTTACACAGAAGCATTCCTACAACTGATGTCCAGATTTATTAATTAAAGTACCAATTGTCACATAGTGGGAAAATGTTGTAGCTCTTACAGAAACTAGCACAGTTGTTTCAAATTAACTGGAAAAGGCTAATCAAGCACACTCAAATTGTCCAGCACATAGCAGGAGGTTCTTATCCAGCACATTAACTGTCTTTGTCCAAATTTAAGGCCAACCAGATTATCTAGAAATCCTTTCATACAGAGGCACAAGTACTTAATGTCTCTAAGTACTCTTTCAACAGAGCTTTCCATACAAGAATTAATTTGAAACATGGCAGAAGTGATAAGGTTGTCAGAGCTCACAGAATCATAGACTTGTTAGGGTGGAAAGGGACTCCTGGAGATCACCTAGTCCAACCCTAGAGCAGGTTACCTAGAGCAGGTTAAACAGGAACATGCCCAGGCAGGTTTGGAATGTCTCCAGACAGGGAGACTCCATGACCCCACTGAGCAGCCCGTTCCAGTGCTTTGCCACCCCCTTCCTTGTCGACCCATTCTGCCATGTCATCATAAAAGGCTATCAGATTAGTCAAGCATGATTTCCCCTTGGTGAACCCATGCTGAATACTCATGATCATGACCCTTTGTCATAAAAACCAAAACAGTTGTGACAGGGTCTCAAAATGCAGTATTTCTGTAACTTGTTTAAGGCCAACAGATATTTTGCTTCAATGAACTTATGTCCAGAAAGTAAAGTTAGGGGTACACTGAAACCAGTCTGCTATTAAAATCTGTTTTAAGCCTTTACAATGAAGACTTAGAGCTGTATGCTTTTGCTATGAAATAAATGAAGTGTACTTAATATGTCAACAAATGTTTTAAAAGCATTCCCCTAGGAAAAAAATATTTTGTTCAGAAAAGATTGAAATGGATATTTTAAACAGAAAACACAAGGATGTACAGAGGGCTAGTGCCATCATTGTTCAGGCTGAGTTCATGCCACTATGCAGAGAGGATCACAACTAGCAATCTGAAGCCCTGAAAGTAATGAAAAACAAATGTTACCTGTATCCATGCTTTGGTTCAACTGTTGGTCACTTGTTTCTCCATCTTCACTGATATATCCTGGAGGTGGTGTTTCTGTCAATAAAAAAAAAAAAATAAAAAAGTCAACCTACTGGTTTAATGGCTGGGGAAATGTATAGGATTTAGCATTTGGTGATTTCATCCTTCAGTCTTCACAAGCTCCATATGATACCTGAATACTGAATTAGAATTTCATTTTGCTATCCCTTTTTCCTTCCAGTTGCACTTCAAACACATTACTTGTCTTACTGTATATGCAATATGTATCATCTCTTCCATTGCCAGTCAACTGCTGAAATATTACATAATTAACAGACAATCCTCATTTGTTCCATTTATGATAAAATACTTTTACTCCAATGAGTAATAGTTTTGTAATTCTGATCAACAGCTTTCACATCTATTTGAATTACAGATGAAAAATAATCTGGTGACTTTTGGAAAACAAAAAAAAAAGACCTGTCTGTGTAGTATAACCATCAGATCAGATGTCCTCCCACACCTTACACAAGTTACTGGATATAAATATTATTTTTCAATTTAGTCCCCAAATCCATTTTTCTTCAATACCCAGCAGTTAATTTCACTCAATAATAACAACTATATTATGTAACTGTTTACACTGCAAAAGCTCTATTATCATTATTACCTTCAAGCTATATTAAAATAATCACCTATTCTTTTACCCAGCTTTCTTTAAAGATGGATTTTTGAAGACCAAGTGAACTTACTACCAAGTGTGAAGCATTCAGATACTAGAAACAGTGTCCAATTCCAAAGAAATACCTTCAAAACTCAGGAAAGTATGGATGTTCCTTGTCTCCATTCAAAACGTACCTTGTAATCCAGATAATGAGTTAAACAACTGCCCTTTAGGTGTCCTGGCTTAAGGCTGTAACAGTTATTTTTCCTTCCTAGTAGCTGGTGCAGTACTGTGCTTTAGTCTGAGAACAATGATGATCACACACCAATGGCTTAGTTGTTGCTGAACAGTGCTCACACTGATCAAGGACTTGACAGTGTCTCATGCTCTGCCAGTGAGGAGGGGCACAAGCAGCAGAGACAGTACCCATGCCTAATTCTATACCTTGCATGTCATGCTCAGATCCCACATTTTTTTCAATATACCATCACTTTGTCTCATACATATATACATAGATGTCCTGGGTTCAGCAGTAGCAGTCATGTTTTTTTTTTTTTCCTTCATGGTAGCTGGTGCAGTGCTGTGTTTTGACTTCCAGCCTGAGAACAGTGTTGGTGAAATCAATGTTTTCGGTTGTCGCTAAGTGATGTTTACCCTGACCAAGGACTTTGTGAGCCTCATGCTCTGCCAGGGAGGAGGGGAAGCCGGGAGGAAGCAGAGACAGGACACCTGACCCAAACTGACCAAAGAGGTATTCCATACCACAGCACGTCATGCCCAGGATGTAACTGGGAGTTAGCCGGAAGGGCTGGGGCACTGCAGGGTTGGAGGAGGTATCGGTTGGAGCTTGGTCGGGCTTGGGGGGCGAGTTATCGGTCGGCTGGTGCTGAGGTGTTGTATTCTCTTCCCTTGTTATTTCCTTTATCATTATTATCACTGGTGGTAGCAGTAGTGATCTGTGTTATACCTTAGTTACTAAACTGTTCTTATCTCAACCCGTGGGAGTTGCATTCTTTTCGATTCTCCTCTCCGTCCCCCCGGGAGTAGGGGCAGGGCAAGAAAGAGGGAGGAAAGGGGGAGAGAGTGAACAAGCTGTCTGGCTGGGTTTAAACCACCACAGAGACAATCTTTCCAGCTCCCCACATGTACCAACCCATGTCTCACCTACTAACAGAAGGTGCCTTATTAACCAAGAGACAGGATATAGGAGGTATAAGACAGGGGCCACCCTATGGTTTTACCTGCAGGATCACAGAGAAGACACGAGAAAGTGGGATAAAAAACCTACTTCAGCTTTGGAAGAGCAGGTGCAGAGATTGCAGAACAACAGTCAAGGCTGATCCTTCCAGTCTCTGCTGAGCAGATTCCCAGACGGAGTGCAAGAGCTCATTTTACTCAAACTCTTATGAAGACGAGTCCTAATCACTTTGTACAAGAAGGGAGTGAAAAATCTTATGATTGCTATTAGAGGGGCCCTGCCTCCAGCCAGGTGGAGGTAGGGGACAATCGGATTTACTGGACTGTGCGGATCAGATGGCCTGGCACATCAGTCCCACATCAGTCCCACTTGGGCCTCTCAGTTCAAGAAGGACAGGGAGCTGCTGGAGAGAGTCCAGTGCAGGGCAACGAAGATGATTAAGGGAGTGGAGCATCTCCCTTATGAGGAAAGACTGAGGGAGCTGGGTCTCTATAGTTTGGAGAAGAGGAGACTGAGGGGTGACCTTATCAGTGTCTATAAATATATAAAGGGGGAGTGTCACGAGGACGGAGCCAGGCTCTACTCAGTGGCAAACAATGATAGGACAAGGGGTAATGGGTACAAAGTGGAACACAAGAGGTTCCACTTAAACTTGAGAAGAAACTTCTTCTCAGTGAGGGTGACGGAACACTGGAACAGGCTGCCCAGGGAGGTTGTGGAGTCTCCTTCCCTGGAGACATTCAAAACCCGCCTGGACGCATTCCTGTGTAACACTATCTAGGTGTTCCTGCTCCGGCAGGGGGATTGGACTAGATGATCTTTCGAGGTCCCTTCCAATCTCTAGCATACTGTGATACTGTGAAGTATAAGGCTCTAGTAGATACCGGTGCACAGTGTACCCTGATGCCATCAAGCTGTCAAGGGGTGGAACCCATCTATATTTCTGGAGTAACAGGAGGATCCCAAGAGTTGACTGTGCTGGAGGCTGAAATCAGCCTGACTGGGAGGGAGTGGCAAAAGCACCCTATTGTGACTGGTCCAGAGGCTCCATGCATCCTCGGCATAGACTACCTCAAGAGAGGGTACTTCAAAGACCCAAAAGGGTACCGGTGGGCTTTTGGTATTGCTGCTTTGGAGACTGAGGAAATTGAGCAGCTGTCCACCTTGCCTGGTCTCTCAGAAGATCCCTCTGCTGTGGGGTTGCTGAAAGTTGAAGAGCAACAAGTGCCAATTGCGACCACAACGGTGCACCGGCGGCAATATCGCACCAACCGAGACTCCCTGATTCCCATCCATCAGCTGATCCGTAGACTGGAGAGTCAGGGGGTGATCAGCAGGACCCGCTCACCCTTCAATAGCCCCATATGGCCAGTGCGAAAGTCTAATGGAGAATGGAGACTAACAGTAGACTATCGTGGCCTGAATGAAGTCACACCACCGTTGAGTGCTGCCGTACCGGACATGCTAGAACTTCAGTATGAACTAGAGTCAAAGGCAGCCAAGTGGTATGCCACGATTGATATTGCCAATGCATTTTTCTCAATTCCTTTGGCAGCAGAGTGCAGGCCACAGTTTGCTTTTACTTGGAGGGGTGTCCAGTTCACTTGGAACTGACTGCCCCAGGGGTGGAAACACAGCCCTACCATTTGCCATGGACTGATCCAGACTGCACTGGAACAGGGGCAAGCTCCAGAACACCTGCAATATGTTTGTCATGGTTAAGGCCCAGCTGGTAACTCAGAACCACACAGAACTCCAGTGGGTTGAGACAAGAGTGGTCCAGTAACTAATGTATAACACGAAACCTTTACTGCTACCACCAATAATAACAATAAGGGGAATAACAAGGGAAGAGAATACAACACCTCAGCACCTGTCAACCCATACCCAGCCTGAAACAGGCAGTGATCACAGCCTTCTGGCTAACTCCCAGTTACATCCTGGCCATGACGTGCTGTGGTATGGAATACCTCATTGGTCAGTTTGGGTCAGGTGTCCTGTCTCTGCTTCCTCCCGGCTTCCCCTCCTCCCTGGCAGAGCATGAGGCTCACAAAGTCCTTGGTCAGGGTAAACATCACTTAGCAACAACTGAAAACATTGATTTCACCAACACTGTTCTCAGGCTGGAAGTCAAAAGACAGCACTGCACCAGCTAACACAAAGGAAAAAAAAAACATGACTGCTACTGCTGAACCCAGGGTAGAGCATTAAACATTTATGTAAAAAAGCTTAAATTCTCTCATTCCAGGCAACTTCCTGAAGAGACAGGAGACAGGAAACAGAAAGTTGGGGTAGGAAACAAAAGGTCACTGATTTTATGTTTCAGTGAGGGTACAGGCTTTTGGGTGCACTGCAACAGATTAATCTTGCTATTTGTTTTGAAGTGGGGAAGAGGCAAAGAGGGGGAGGAGGAATTCTTTAGGAGTTCAATACTGTTAGGTTGTTCTTTCATACCAGAAAGACAAAACTGTATGTACACAACAGTAGCAAATACAGAAAGCTGACCTTAAAAAATGTTTTGATCTGTAGTCCATAATTGATTAAGTCACTGCTTTGCAACTTAAAGTTTTCTCTACATACTACATGTGGCAAGACTGAGCAGCAGCATACTATTCAATCTCCAATACACAGCATTTGGCAACCCCTATGATTGTAAAACAGGCTTAAACTGTAAGGTCAAGGTCTACTTTGTACTCATTACCATTCTGGATCTTAAATAGGCTATTAAAACCAAGTAAGCTAATGCAAGACCACAGCAATATGGTTTCACAGAGGATCATGTTCCGCAAACAACTGTGTTCATATATTTCCATACATGAAATCAACTAGATTTAATTTATTGGTGCACCTTTCAATTATTTTGATCACTTAAGAGGAAATTACCATCTTTGTTCCAGTGGCACAATGTTAAATGCACTGTTTACAGTGGGAATTAAGAAAATACCTGGTATGTAATTGCTCTGTGGTTCAATTCCAGCCGGAAAGTTAGTGTTTTCAGGAATGGAATGGGTGTAGTCATCCAGAGGTGGAAGTTCTGTTAGAATCTCAGTGTGCCGCGGCACTAGTACAGGAGGCAAGACTGGAAAAACAAAAATCAAAGCATTAGTGAGTCCCTTAAAATACACACTTTGTGAGCTAAAATGAAAAAAGCAACCTAAAACTCCTAACAATTTCTTCAGATGTTTTGAAATTTTCTGAATCTCAGTACCACTAATACTACAGTTGTATTGCTAGTTACTGGAAGAAAGAGATTCATGAGGTGCCTCCTGAGTAAAACTATTCCCACGTTAGCAAACGTAAGTCATCTGTATTCTCCTTTTCAGTTGTCCCAATGGTATTTAGCTAGCTGGAAACTGCTAGCAGTATTGAAATTGTTTATCAGAGGTGTGCAAAACATTTGCAAAGATTTTTCACTAAATTTACTATTACAAACTTTCAGGGGATGGTATTCTCAAAACCTGCATCTCTAAGAACCTTGTACTTCTGACAAGAGAAAGAATCATCTTTCCCTATTTTTCATTTAAAACATTATGCTGAACAAGCAATTTACAGATGCTGCTAGCAGAAGCAGCCTTCCTACCTGGTGTCTCCACTCTCTGGTAGTGATAAGGGTTTACACATACTTCATCCTTTTTAAGATTAAAAGCATATTCACAGTTTTCAATTGCTTTAAGTTCATGGTGGCTGTGAAGATCTGGCCAGCGCCACAAACGACAGTAAATAACATGCGGTAATCCTTTACGATGAGATACCTGCAGACGGCCATCGAGGGATCTACAGAGGAAAGATGTTGAGAAGTATTTAGAAACCACATACTGTCTTTTAATCACTCAAAGCAACAGTGTACACACAAGATGGGCAGTTCCTTTATTCTCAGAATTCAGTGGGTTGACACTGCTAGTGACATTTATTCTTTTGTTAAAAGACTTCAAATGTGATAAAAATGATGCTATTGAGTGGACTCCTAAGTTATTTTTGAGCTGCTCAAATTATTGGCAATGGGTTCATTAAAAGCCACTCACTCTACCTCCAACCAAGTATTTAGTATGTTTTCATTGTGTATTCTTTTATTAAATGCAAAAGACCGTTGATTAAATAAGTAAATAAATAGATCACACACTTAACAGTCCCTTCCACTGCTAAACCTCAAGGTTTTGCTGTGGCATGGATGCTTTATAGCTATATATATAGCTATATATATAGGTATAAGAATTCCTACAGGACTGCAAATAAGCCTATAAGCACTCAGCTGTCCAAGTGATCCACATGACAGTATAACACAAAAAGCATGAATGCACATCTTGTAAGGGCTGTACAGTTTATCTTTTTGACTTCATCTGCCTTGCTACCAGCTGAAAATGTTTTGCTAGTTTTAAGACAGACTGCATATGCTTACACAAATACAGATGTTTATGATTGTTATGGGATGGGAGACAAACCTCAATACACAGATCAAGTAATGTGACATGAAAAAATAAAGACCCTGTTTAGAATTTGCCCATCCTTAACTGCTGAAGAACTTACAAACAATGCTTTAGTAGCTCATATCTGACCCAAAGAGCAAGATTTAACTGAAAGCTTGTGACATACAAAGCAGTTTAAACACTTTGCAAGATTAGGTCTAAAGAACTAAGTTTCCCAACTTTGTTGATATAAATACCAGGTCACATTAGGGCTTGCATTCAACAAATCTTTCCATTCTTCCAAGAGCACTGGTGTGAAAAAGGAATACTGACGAATTAGTTTCATTGGTCAAAACATCAGCTGAAAACATAGGGATTTCTACACTGGCAATCAAGTATTTTCAAATGCTGTACCATGAGAGGCTTAGGAAGCATTTTTGTCTTATTTTACAACTAAATCATCCCATTACAGACCCTCCAAAGCGAATCCCTCCCACAAGATTTCTATGATGCGAGAGAGGGCAGAATATTCACCTGGTTTGTTCACAGAAGCTGTAAAGGCCTGCTGTATCCCACTGATCTATCGTGTTTGGTGTACTCAGTCCCCAAATTTCAGAGCAAGTGCTGTGCATAAATTGAAAACAAAAAAAAACTGATATGAATATGGAACATGGTTATTCAAAACACCATGATGTCAAACATGGAAAAATGTACAGAATGCTTCCTTTCACATAGAAGACAGAGCATTGTTAGGCTTGCATTTAAACTGACATCTCATGCTATATTTTCTATATGAAGGAAATGGAACATGTGATTCAAGGTAAATGATAATGCTTTTAAAAGATGAACAAGTTCTTTGGTTTAAAAGTAGTCAATACAGTTGTAATGTTCCTTAAAACAGGCAAAACTTCCTCAGCCTAGCTCTTAAAATTCCATTTTAAAGGGTAGTTTTGGGCTTTGTTGTTTGGGTGTGTTTTCTTTTTTTTTAAATAAGCTTCCCTGGATCTTCAAATAAAGGCCATGTATATCTGAAACTGAACATCACAATCTAACTTTCAGGTACCACTAACTTAAGCATTAATCTCATTCTCTGTGCACATACTAACTTGCTGCTTTTCCCAAAACAGAAAAATTTGGACTCTGAAGAAAAAGCACACTGTAGCTAATACTTCTATTTTTTGTACTCCCCCTTGATTAAAGAACTTAATATTCTTTTCCACAGTATGCAAAACATACAATGTTTAACACAGTTTTACAGCACAGTATTTTAAGACTTAACTATAGAATAATAATACTTCAGTTCCCAAATAAATTCAGAGGAAAGGAGAGAACCAATTCTTTTCCAAACTTGTTCAATGACAAGATCACAACAGGAAAGACAAAAGAGCCTTCAGTCATAAGACACAAACTAAAATGAACAGCAGATTTAAGCAAAACAAGAAATCAATATGGGCTTATAAATGGGCAGCAGACATTAAGAAGCATAAATGAAGCTCATAAACTTGCTCCATGACCACTGAAAATTGATAGTTTTGTTTAATGCACAACTAGACTTCACACCTCAGAAAGAATTTGGTTCAGAAGTAACTTATGTCTCCACTTTGTAATTACAATGCCTGAAGTTGGACTGGCTGCTACATTACCTTTAAAATTAATACCCTCTGAAAAGCTGCAACAGAAAGAATCCAAGTATCAAAAATCTCCTGGTTTTGAATATAGGTGTTGTGATTCAAATTTCAACTACTAAATGTAGCTGATAAACTCACAAATTTGTATTGAGTGCTTAAGGGAAGAGACATGAGGTAGGTCTTATTTCTCCTCCCTACACAGGGGAAATGCCTTAGTACTATAAAAGAAAAGACCAGACAGCACAGCACCATACTCAAAACCACATTCAGAGCTGACAACCACCTCAATTCTACAGCAACTTTAATGAAACATAAGCGTGGCCTACTGAAAGGAATGAATGTTTATTGTCCCCTTCTTGCCTGTCCCACATACCTCCTTTCCTATGCCGTCTGTGTCAGTGACAATAGATAGTGATTCATAGTAAAACACACAAAAAATAGAAAAGTACTGTTTGGCATGGGTTCTGGGAGCATAACCCTGAAAATAGGGGAGTTAACACCACTGTTAGGAAAAGGGAGTCTTACACCAGTTGCAAGACACATGAGGTAATGCCCCATTTTGGTTCCTCCCTGAAAAGTCCTGCTTTGGAAATCCCCAAAATATCCCCAACCCCCAGGGACCCTTTTTGTATAGCTGGCCACTTCTTCACATGTAAGCTGACCCCTGTCCTGGGTTCAGCAGTAGCAGTCATGTTTTTTCCTTTGTGTTAACTGGTGCAGTGCTGTGTTTTGACTTCCAGCCTGAGAACAGTGCTGGTGAAGCCGATGTTGTCGGTTGTGGCTAAGTGATGTTTACCCTGACCAAGGACTTTGTGAGCCTCATGCTCTGCCAGGGAGGAGGGGAAGCTGGGAGGAAGCAGAGACAGGACACCTGACCCAAACTGACCAAAGAGCTATTCCATACCACACGTCATGCCCAGGAGGTAACTGGGAGTTAGCCGGAAGGCTGTGATCACTGCTCAGGTCAGGCTGGGTATCGGTCGGCTGGTCCTGAGGTGTTGTATTCTCTTCCCTTGTTATTTCCTTTATCATTATTATCATTGGTGGTAGCAGCAGTGGTTTGTGTTACACCTTAGTTACTGGACTGCTCTTGTCTCAACCCATGGGAGTTACACTCTTTACAGTCTCCTCCCCATTCCTCCAGGAGTGAGGGGAGAAAGAAGGGGAGTAAGGGAATGGCTGCATGGTTCTGGGTTGCCAGCTGGGCTTAAACCATGACAGACACACAATTCACAGATGCAACCCATGACTGATTACATGATGCTGGGGTAATGGCTATCTGATCAACATCCAGATACAATATGGTATAAAGGACTGCACATCCACTGGCTAGTTGGAAGAGTTCTTCCACCCATTTGGATGACACATACTGTACATCTGTGATGGTAACTTTGTAAACTATTTCACTCCCTCTCTCTCTCTGCAAATCTATTAATATACTTTCCTTCTCCCCCCTTCTCTTTTCCTTCTTTTGTAGGTTATAATAATTTTAGGTAACAAATTGCATTATCCAAGCATTTGACCTCATTTGTGTCTTAATTTCACCCTGTGCAATCCAAGACTTTTCCATACCATAAATCTGGGACATGACACAGCCCCTATTCCACAGAAATCATTATGGAATGGTCTTGGCCATTTAACTTACTTGTGGAGTATTAGACCAAACCCCAAACATTTTTCATAAATCTTTCATATCTTTCAGATACTACAGCCATTAACAAGTTTGCAAGTCCACATTCAAGGTAATCTTCAGCATTTCTCTTTCCTCTTGTCATGGTTTATGCTCAGTCAGTAACTCCTGCATCTTATAATCATGGAGCTTTCTTCCAGTGAATGTAATTTGTCTGCCCCTATGTTTTCTGAGGTATTTATAGTGCTGGAGCTGTGACTGAAAAGCAATTTCAGTAAGGTATGATAGTACCCCATTTATCTGTTTTGAAGTAGGAGGTAAAAAGAAGTTCTTTTTCATACCTAGAATTATCATGCAAAGTCTTTCCCACAGATGTGAACCAGGTACTTGTTTTTATTCATGTTTTCACTCAAGGACTAAAGAAAAGCGTAACAGAAAAGATGGTCAGGTTTTCACTTGAACTATAGAAGTTACTTAGCACAGGCACAAACACTGTTATACCAGCCTAACAGGAGTCACTACCTTGAGTGATGGTATTCTGTAAAAGGGGCAGAAAAGAATTTGCTTCAAGAGCTACAAACTATCTAAAATTGAGTTAGAGCAGTAAGAAACAGCTACTAGATTTACAGAAACCCATTTCCTCATAACGAATGGGCAAATACCAATGCTTTAATATTGCTCACTGCTGCTCCTGTAAAATTTGCCTGAAAAAAACAACTTCAAATCTGCAGGTTGAAAAGATTTACCTTCCACACTAATTTTTCTTTTTTAGTAAAGCCCGCTATGCAAAATCTTAGATCCAAGACTCCACACAGCAACAGAGAACAAACATCACTATACTGATACAGGCTCTGGTTCATGACTGGTATAGCAAAACTGAAGTCGCACTTTTGTGAAGGCAATTGCAGAACTTTTAGGGTGGGAAGGGACCCCTGAAGATCACCTAGTCCAACCCAGATGCAGGCTCACCAGGGTTGAGTAGAGAGGGAGGATCACCTCCCTTGACCTGCTGGCCACACTCCTCCTGATGCATCCCAGGATACTATTGGCCTTCCTGGCTGAAAATGCACACTGCTGCCTCAGTCAGCTTATGTACCAATACTCCCAGGTCCTTGTCAGCTGAACTGCTCTCTAGTAAGTCAGCCCCCAACCTGTACTTGTAATTGGGGTTCTTCCTCCCCAACTGCAGTACCCCAATACTTGCCTTCATTAGGTTTCTTTCTGCACAATTCTAAAGCTTGTCAATGTCCTGCTGAATAGCACAGCCACTCCCCCAGCTTCCTATCATCAGCAAACTTGCTGGGGGTACACTCTACCCCTTCATCCAGGTAACTGATAAACAAGTTCAATAAAACTGTCACCAGTATTGATCCCTGGGGAACACCACTGACTACAGGCCTCCAACTGGATTCTACTCCACTGATCACAGCCCTCCAAACTTTACCATTCAGCCAGTTTTTGATTCACCTCACTGTCCATTCACCTAACCCACATTTCCTAAAGTTACCTATGAGGATGTTAAGAGAAACAGTGCCAAAAGCCTTGCTGAATCAAGGCAGATAACATCCACTGCTCTCCCCTGTTTAACTCATCTTGCCATATCATCATGGAAGACTATTAGACCAGTCAAGCAAGATTTGCCCTTGGTGAACCCATGCTGAGTACTCCTGATTAGGTTTTTTTCCTCTACATGCTTGCTGACAACCTCCAGAATGACCTGTTCCATCACCTTTCCAGGGATGGAGGTGAGGCTGACTGGCCAGTAATTTCCTGGGTCCTCCTTGTTGGACTTTTTGAAGATGGAAGCAACATTGGCCTTCTTCCAGTCATCAGGGACTTCCCCTGTTTTCTATGATTTTTCAAAGATGATGGAGAGCAGCAGAGCAGCAACATCTCCCAGCTCCCCCAGCATCCATGGGGGTGCATCCCATCAGTGCCCATGGATTTATGGTTGTTAAGTCCATCTAGCCTATCCCTAACCCAACCCTCTACCACCAGGGGAAGTCTTCCTTTCTCTGGACTTCTCTTCCAAGGTCTGGGATTCATGAGAGCTGTCCTCAGAAATAAAGACTGAGGCAAAGGCAGCATTCAGTAATCCCACCTTCTCCATGTCTTCTGTTAGCAGGACACCCATCTGATTCAGCAGTGGCCCCACATTTTCCCTTATCTTCCTGATATACTTGTAGCAGATCTTCTTGTTGTCCTTTACCAGACTGAATTCTAAATGGGCCTTGGCCTTCCTTGTCACATCCCTGCATACCCTGCTAATACTCCTATAGTCCTCCCACTTTGCCCCTTTTTCCACATCCCATAAATTTCTCTTACATATGGGATTTTCTGACAGCTCTCTGCTCATCCATGAAAGT